ATGGGGTTTTTCCGTGTTGGTCAGGCTGGTCTCGAACTCCCGACTTCAGGTGACCTGCCCACCTTGGCCTCCCAAAGTGCTCGGATTATAGGCGTGAGCCACCACGCCCAGCCTGTTTTGTTGTTGTTAAGTACCAGTTTTAAGATTGAGACATTCTCAGATGTTTAATCAAATCTTCAAATTCACTTCTAATCAGAGTTTAGCTTCCCCCTCTAGGTCCAGGCTGACACATGGCTCAGGGGACCTGCAGTGGATGGGGCATGGGGGTGATCTTGCATCACTGGAGCCACTATCATTCCTTCTTAACTTTTGCTGGTGGGGTTGCAAGGCTCCCTGTTAGAACAGGCATATGTGCTTTCATGGCGCCTATTTATGGGTCCTTGGGAGCCCTGCACAGGGACCACTCCCTGCCCCATTCCCTGAGCGGGCACTGCCCTCTCCATCCTTCCTCCTGTGACTCCTTCTCATGCCATCCCCAGCCCTCTGCCCCTCAGCCTCTTCTTGCTAGGGACCCCTTACTCCAGCAGGCGGTCCCCTTGAGCAGACTCTTCAGATCTCTTCCTCTCAGTATCCACTTGTCACCCTCTAGTGACCCATGTCGCCCTCACGCCTCCTGATGCAGCAAGCCCTTGAAGTGCAGATGGCTCCCGTGACTGCCCTCTTCCTCCCGTGCCTGTGGGGGCTACCCCAGTCAGCCTCCCAGCCAGAGAACTCTCGAGCACAGCTCTGGACTCCAGGGGACACTGCCGGGTTCTCCCAGGACTCTCACCATGCTCCATTCTAGGTGGGCCTGTAAGCGACTGTGCCCAGCCAGCTGGGAAGTGAGCTGCTGGGCTTTCTTCTTGCTGAAGCTCCATAAGTCCTTTTTTTTTTTTTTTGAGCCGGAGTCTCGCTCTCTTGCCCATGCTGGAGTGTAGTGGCGCGATCTCGGCTCACTGCAAGCTCCGCCTCCCAGGTTCACATCCCAGGTTCATGCCATTCTCCTGCCTCAGCCTGCCGAGTGGCTGGGACTACAGGCGCACGCCGCCACACCAGGCTAATTTTTTGTATTTTTTAGTAGAGACGGGGTTTCACTGTGTTAGCCAGGATGGTCTCGATCTCCTGACCTCATGATCCGTCTGCCTCAGCCTCCCAAAGTGCTGGGATTACAGGCGTGAGCCACGGTGCCCGGCCCCATTAGTCCTTTTGACCTTCCCTGCTCCAACCATCCCCTGGCCTGGGGGTGAGTGAAAGAATCCACAGCACTCCCCACTGCCACAACAACTCCCCACAATGACTTCCCAATTGATGAAGATTCCATCAATCCCTAGCCTTTCTGTATAGCCTGGAGGTGGGGGTATGGGGGGTTGCTAGCCCCAGACCTGTTTCGCTGTTTTAGTGAGTCCAGCATGGATGTGTCTGGAACTTCTCTTTAGAATGGGCAGAAATGTACACATACTGTTCTCAGCTTTGAGGCTTTAGCTGAAAAATCCAATTCAACATTTTCTTAGACAAAGTACTAGTTTTCCAGGCCCAGGATTTTCAATTACCTTAGGAATTTAACAGAGTTATCCTTCTATAAGAGATTTTGTTTTCCCTCAGTGAGTAGATGCAGTGTTCTGTATACTGGTCTATGTACCAGGCTTGAAGCCAGGACAAAGAGGTGGGAGTCTGTCCCCAAGATGCAGGTCACAGCCCCTCAGCCCCTACTCCCTCACCTATACAGTGAGGGGTACATCAGAATTGGGTATCTGAGAGTTCTAACAGTCTAGAAATTTAAAATTTTTTTCTCATTATGAGTACAAAAAAACTCACAAAACATACAATTTGACAAATTATTATACAGCTAACACACATGTAACTACCACCCAGGTCAACAGAAACATTTCTAGCACCCCAGAGGTCCCCTGTGTCCCCTCTCAGCTACTACCCCCTGCCATGCTCTAGAGGAAGTCCCAATTCTGACTTTTATCAAAATTACTTCCTTGCTTTCCCTTATAATTTTACCAACCATGCATGCCTCCCTAAAAAAGGCTGTACTTTGGCCTGATTTTGAATTTTATATTAATGGAATAATACAGAATGTATTCTTTTGTGTCCAGCTTATTTTGTTCAACATTCTTTTTGTAAGATTTATCCGTGTTGTTGCAAGTAGCTATGGTTCATGCTTTTTTTTTTTTTTTTCCTGAGACGGAGTCTCGCTCTGTCGCCCAGGCTGGAGTGCAGTGGCGCGATCTCAGCTCATTGCAAGCTCCGCCTCTCGGGTTCCCGCCATTCTCCTGCCTCAGCCTCCTGAGTAGCTGGGACTACAGGCGCCCGCCACCTCGCCCGGCTAGTTTTTTGTATTTTTTAGTAGAGACGGGGTTTCACTGTGTTAGCCAGGATGGTCTCGATCTCCTGACCTCATGATCCGCCCATCCCGGCCTCCCAAAGTGCTGGGATCACAGGCTTGAGCCACCACGCCCGGCCAGTTCATGCTTTTTAATTGCTGTATAGTTTTCATGAATAGACAATCATTTAGTTGTGTTGTTAGACATTTAGGTTATTGGTCTAAAACGTTTTATAAATATACACATACACTCCCACTCCACTAATAGCCATGTAAATTCAGAGTTGATTTCTTTATAAACTCAAGAACTTGAGTGTGGCTTTAAAATATAGCAAAATCCCTCTATCAAGTTCTTGGTTACATAGCTACTTTGGTTTTTCTAGGGACATAATTCATCTTCCTCAACATGGGTAACCTAAGATTTTTCCCTAACCTGAGTCATTAAGAATAAGAAGAACACCACGCTCAGGCAACTGGGCATTTTCTTCAGATAGTCTAGAAAATGATTAAGCCTATATGCATAGGCTTAAGGAATGTACTCCGAAAGTATTACAAGAAATATTTTCTATAGTCTGTTTAGAGAACTAGAAAGCCACATAAGACAAACTCTTCTCCACTTTCCCAGGGCTGGCCCCACCCCACTGGCAGGGCACAGGTAGCCTTTTTGCCATAGGGCACAAATTAAACAGGGATGCCCCTGATCGCTGCCAGAGGTGTTGAACGGTACCATGGTGCTGCTCAGACAAACGATCCATTGTTTTCAGCTGACTCGAAGCAGTAAGTGAATCTTTCCACTAAGAGATGAAACCCCCTCCCATAGCCAGAGTCAGGCAACCATGGGTCCCACAGACCACAGCCAGCACTAGGCAGGGAGCTCAATCTGGAGAGGCAGAGCTGCCACTCTGCACTGCCCTGGATGGCATGGGTGAGCACACTGGCAGGCAGACACACCTTCTGCAGAAATCAATTGATAAAGACACCCTTAAAGTCTGTGCTTTGAACAAGTGGTAAGTTAACAACGATAAGGGCCTGAAGCAATACGCAGTTGTGTAGACCTCCCAGAACAAAGCAATTTTAGACATACCAGCAGCACAGGACCCAGCTGGGCCAGAGCCTTTCTTTGGCCACAAGTGTGAGCAAGGATGATTGATAGTGACCCTTGGTTGAGAAGGGGCCGGCACCAAATGGCAGAGCCATGCTCAGTCTCTGAAGGGTGTGGGTTGACTACTCTCAAACAATCCTTTTGTCAGCCTCACAAAGCTCTTTTCAGAGACCATTAACTCTAGCTACCTGGTTACACTCTACCTGGTCCCAGAGTAAGCAGTCCCAATTAAGGCAAAGCCCTATTAATGCTTCCCTAACAAGGCTGCCCGCCCAGGTGTGCTACAGGTTACATTTAAAAACCAGGCTTTTGGAGAAAGACTCATAGTCAACAGTTGTTCAGCTTGGATTCATTCCAATTCCAAATAACTTACTTGAGGAAAGAAGAGGAGCTGCAGTTGACTTTTGAGCATTGACACTTAATTTTGGGGTCCTTTCGTTAGTAGGCAGAGTTGGTAAACCGATTTTTTTTAATAACAGGGAGGGACTGAAAATCATGGCACACTTGAGAAAAAAATTGGGCACATATGACAACTCTTTAAAAACTGCCCTTTAAACAGAAAAACCTGCTATTCTAGTGTGAAAGAATTTGGAGTCATCTGGGAATTGATTTGAAATGCACATTCTCTTGTCACCCCATATTCACATTGTAAGAACTAGGGAAGTGACGGACTACCCACTTGGCCTTATGCCCAATTCCAGAGGCATGAAATGTTGGCAGACTAAGAAAATATGGTCCTTTCTCCGCCGCTAGAAAAAATAACAAAGAATTTGCTGGACATAGTGGCATACACCTGCAGTCCTATCACTTGGGAGGCTGAGGCAGGAGGATCACCTGAGCCCAGGAGTTTAAGGCTGCAGTGAGCTATGACTGTACCACTGCATCCAGCCTGGGTGACAAAGAACCTGTCCCCCCCGCCAAAAAGAAAATATGATCCTTTGAGCAAAGGCCTTTTCAAAGTGCCTGTGAAGTGAAAATTAGTCACAGCACCAAGATTACTCGGCTTTTTTCATCATTCTCAAGTAGGCAGTGGAGTTTCCAAGTAACGAGACTGGTATAAAAAGTGCACAAGCACATAAGCAGCTAGATATCTTTGAAGAGATCTATGTTGGTTTTGATTTCTAATGTAAATATTTGTAATTCACCCAACAAAACTCACCTAGTCTAGTATATTAATGTATTTATGAACTAAATGACAGTTTTTAAACAATTTGGAGGAGTGGGAGAGCAGGTGTCCCTGGTTGGCTTTGTGGGTATCTCAGTGGTTTGCACCTGTGCAGCAGTGGTTTCTATTTTTTGTCATGATGGATCCTTCCCAGCGACTACCTGCCCCACCCACTTGGGTTTACAGGTCCCCAAGATGAAGGGCCATGTCTCCTCCATCAGTTTAGGGGCTGCCAAGATCAAGAACCCTATCAGGTGCCACCAAGGGAGAGAAATGACTAAGTGCTGTTTTTCCTCTACCTGAGTGGTGCCACTGGAGATAGGAGCCATGCAAGCACCTGCATGCCCCCGCCCCCGTCCCCCCTGACGCCCAGTGAGGACCACCTGCGCGGCCAGGACCGCGCTGACCCTGCCCTGTCTCCACAGGTTTCGGCATGACCACCCCCGCGACGGTGGGCGGGAAGGCCTTCCTCATCGCCTACGGGCTGTTCGGCTGCGCCGGGACCATCCTGTTCTTCAACCTCTTCCTGGAGCGCATCATCTCGCTGCTGGCCTTCATCATGCGCGCCTGCCGGGAGCGTCAGCTGCGCCGCAGCGGCCTGCTGCCCGCCACCTTCCGCCGTGGCTCCGCGCTCTCGGAGGCCGACAGCCTGGCGGGCTGGAAGCCCTCGGTATATCACGTGCTGCTCATCCTGGGCCTGTTCGCCGTGCTGCTGTCGTGCTGCGCCTCGGCCATGTACACCAGCGTGGAGGGTTGGGACTACGTGGACTCGCTCTACTTCTGCTTCGTCACCTTCAGCACCATCGGCTTCGGGGACCTGGTGAGCAGCCAGCACGCCGCCTACCGGAACCAGGGGCTCTACCGCCTGGGCAACTTCCTCTTCATCCTGCTCGGCGTGTGCTGCATTTACTCGCTCTTCAACGTCATCTCCATCCTCATCAAGCAGGTGCTCAACTGGATGCTGCGCAAGCTGAGCTGCCGCTGCTGCGCGCGCTGCTGCCCGGCGCCCGGCGCGCCCCTGTCCCGGCGCAATGCCATCACCCCGGGCTCCCGGCTGCGCCGCCGCCTGGCCGCGCTCGGCGCCGACCCCGCGGCCCGCGACAGCGACGCCGAGGGCCGCCGCCTCTCGGGCGAGCTCATCTCCATGCGCGACCTCACGGCCTCCAACAAGGTGTCGCTGGCGCTGCTGCAGAAGCAGCTGTCGGAGACGGCCAACGGCTACCCGCGCAGCGTGTGCGTCAACACGCGCCAGAACGGCTTCTCGGGCGGCGTGGGCGCCCTGGGCATCATGAACAACCGGCTGGCCGAGACCAGCGCCTCCAGGTAGACCGCCCGTCCGCCCGCGCCAGGGACCCTCTCCAGGCCGCGGGGCCGCCGGGCGTGGTTTGCTTCCCTTCTCTCAGTCACTGCTGGCGCTTTCTTAATCTTTATCCAATAAAATGAAACAAAAAAAATTTTTTTTAAAGAAATACTATTTGGCCAGGCCTGATGTTATCAAGGGCAGGTTTTGGGGACGCCTGTGTTCCTTGTGAGTTCCCTTTTCGAGAACCGTGGCCCCCAGCAGATTCTCCTTCAGGGAGAGAAAACGTGGCCCCCCCAGGTCCCCACCCAGGGCATACCGCAGCGAGGAGGGTTTTGCAGACTGGCACTAAACCCCGTCCCCATGCACAGAAGCAGCCGGCAACCCCAAAGCATATGGTGCAACTTTTCGTGGCTCTGAATTACCTCCTCAGCATTTAGAATCCTGGCCCAGCCTAGCAGCTTCCTTCTGGTCGTCAGAAGTGATATAGTCACAGTTTTGACAGGTGGGGGTAGGGACAGCCATATGTTGCCTCCCGATGTATATATATAGAACAGCCACTACACACAGAGAATGGTGTAGTATTATGCAATGAGATGAAACATAGCACCAACTTGCGGACTGTGGCATTTCCCCCAGATTTGGAAATTGCAGTGGTGAGGGGCTTAGCTGGCCTTTCTCAGCCCAAAGTTAGTCCATTTAGCACAGAGCACAGGGCAGCTACTTCTAATGGCGGGCAGTCCAGGGCACCTGTGAGGAGGGGCGCGCTGAGGCTGCAGGAGCCCTGCTGGGCTTTAGCTGGCCAATCTCCAGGCTCGGATAGGATCTTGAATCCCCCAACCGTCCTTTCTTTCACAAGCTCATCCACAACAGGCCTTTTCAATATTAACCAGGAATATCTGAGTCTCCTCAGACAAGATATTTCTTTGTTGGTGTGGATTTTTTTTTTTTTTTTCTTAACTACTGTTGATGAGTTCAACTTTTCCCCCTTTGAGAGATCATGGGGTTGCTGGGCGCAGCCCTCCAGCTTCTCCTCCTCCTCTGAAGGAGGCAGCTCTGCCAGCTGCGTTCTTGGGAACCAGGGCCTGCAGCACCAGGAACCCAAAAGAAGCCATCTTGCAAATGTCAGCGTGTTTGGTTCCAGAGGCCATGATGTGTTTGGGGTCAGGAAAGACAGAATCCCTTTCTAAATATTGTTTATCAAGAGGATTTGTCTTCTCCATGCACAGCCTATTGGAGGTAGAGGAAGGCAGGAGGGAGGGAGCTGGTGAAACTGGTGGATGGAAGTAATGTTAGGATTAAAGTTTTGCTCTCAGGCTGAGGGACAGATTCTCTCAGACTTGCCTTCTGCAGCACGGGGGCCCCTGACCTGGAGGAAGGCCAGATACCCAGGCTTCGTTGAAAGGATGGTGGTCTGGGGCTGTAAACAAACACTCCCTCTGGCCATTTTTCTCATCTATGATGAGGGCAAGGACAGGTGCCAGAGTTTATACAGGCACGGCGTGACCCACCAGTAGGCAGAGCTTCTGATAGGAAGTCTTAGAAAAGCACCGCCTCACCGCCTCCAGCTCGAGCCATGCTGTGAAATCTCTCTCCCTGGCAAATGTGCCTGGAACACACACACACAAACATGCACGCATGCGCTCACGCATACAGCATTTGAGTCAAACTTGAATGTCAAACTCCTCTTTCCCCTTCTAGTTCATGGCAGGAAGGGAAAGCTTACCTGAGATCTCAGTGACTCTCCAGCTATTTTGGGTAATTTCCGGTTTGAGTTGGGATTAGTTTTTAAACATGGGCCCTAATCTAGGGTGAAGCCAGTGAAGCAGCACTGGCCAGGAGAGAGGTCAGTCTTGCTAAATACTGAATGGTGGGCTCCTGTGAAAACCATACTTTCAGGATTCACTGTGACTGCCAGGCCAGCCCAGCGAGTGCCCCCACATCCAAGCCATGGTTGCGGTCACAGTGAAGGGATTGCCCACTCAGAGGGGCACATGTTCTCTAGGGCAGGGCCCTCTGACAGGACCTGGAAATAAAATCCACGTTTATCCCTTTAAAAAAGGGAACGATTAAAAGGCATTCAATTAGAGGTGTTACCTAGGCAACAGGAAATAACTTGGGGATCAGAGCTGTCCAGAAAGGGAAGAAGAGATCCCCATGATAGAGGCATCTAGATAGTGAGGACTTGATCTGGGGGCAAAGTAACAGCCTACGCACAGGAAGTGAGCCCCAGCAACAGTCCAGCAACCTAAAACCCAGGCATCAAGACTGTGTGAGCTACACAGGCCTAAAGAGACCTCCAGGCAATCCCCCGCCCAGCGTGCAGCACTACACAGAATCCTGGTCTCCATGGGAGGAACCAGGACCCACCTCCAGAGAAGAAAAACTCGAAACATTTCTTGGCAGTCTTCTCTGTTGGCGGTGCTTCCTAGACTCTATCCCAAGTTGCTTATGCTGCAGCCTCAGCTGTTTTTACTTCTTTTCTTATGCTTTGGTTTTGGAAAGAGGCAATTGAAGGCAGCTTGAGCAATCTTCTAAAGGAATCGGAAGCATGGTTTCAAGGGGCAGGAAAATGAGACCCTTCCCCTTCCCACCCCCCAACTTCCCAGAGAAATGCCAGTCCTCCAAGGTACAGTGGCAGCTCAGGATCCAGTGGCACATGTTTATTTTTGCCTATGTTCCCCTGTCCCCATCCCCCAACCCAGTCTCAGTCACATGATGCCATGATACGTCACGCCATCGTCCCTCATCTCAGGCCAAAGGGCTCAGTGCCCCAGACGCCAGGGGCTGCTTCACTGAAGCAGGCATGTGGTTCTCCCATCATTTCAGGAACAGGGGGATGCATTTCTTTGGTGCAGGTTCTTCTAGACCTCAGACCAAAAAAGAGCTCCATTCCCTCAGATGCTGTGGCCTCTCTCACTATCCTGGGGGTCTCGTTTTTCCCACCACTGGTAGCTCACTGTAGCCTACAATTTCCTCACGCTCCCGGAGTTGCTTCCTAACCTTAGGCCTGAACTTACCCATCATGCCGGCGCTGTGGGGCTCCCTTAAAGGTGGAATGAGCTCCAAGAAGCCCTCGCCATATGGCTGTGGCCACATAGAAGCCAGAGTCTTGGCGAGCAGCCTTCTCAGAGCTGAGCAGAAAGGTAAAGAAGCCACCCTGGGTGTCCTAGCTTGCTAAAGCGAGGTGGCCAGGCCTTTGTGTCCTCTGAATGAAGCAGTGCCTCCAGGCCTGGAGAAGGCATCAGAAGGCTTAGGCAATCTCAGGCTCTCATATTGTGGAAAATGCCGGGCAGCCCTGGGCATTTGCACAGTATCATGCATATATATATACACACATACACACACATACACACCAGCCTTACAAAGAGCTACTATCCCTTTTCCCCAAGGAAAAGTCTCAGTCTGGGCCACTTTAAGAAGAAAGATTTCCCATTTTAACTCCCTAGAGATGTACCAGGGCCTGGAAAATCCCTCTCTGCCTTGGGGGAGTTTTATGTACAATTTGCATGTATTCAGGTTTCACACAGAAGCCAGCATCCAAACCCAAGCCAAACCCTGGAAAATAGCTGCTGAATTGACCCAGGATCCTCCGTCCTTCAGACAGGCCTCCCAGCAGACCCCCTCTTCCTGTGGGCTCTGGGGTGAGGGGTGACTGAGCCCTCATGGCCAAAAGAGAAGCTTCTGGGGAACTGAGGCAGACGGCAGCCCAGCCAGGCAGAGACCATAGGAGCGACGGGCCCTGTGGTTCGATCTTACTGTAACTTTTTACATTCTTAAAAAACAAAAAGCACAATTCCACATGCACACTGTCTGGAAAGCACAGCCAGACAGCCAGCCTAGGGCACTTCTGAGTCCAGAAGAGGCGCTGGGGCTTTATCTGTTGCAGGGTTGTTGTTTTGTTGTATAATGTGCTCGTGGTGACTCTGAAGGCTCCTCACTTTGTAGGGTGGAGAGGGAGGGAGGGAGGGCCTGCTGAGGCCATTCCTGACCCCCAGGGTGGGCTCATCAGCATGGACTTGGGGCCTGGACTGTTGCCCCTGGAGCAGCTCTGGCACCTTCAGGCACCCCAGAGCACAATTGCTACATCTTCCACGCTAGTCTCATGCATTGAGGATTTCTGCACTCGGACCTGGCCCGAGACCCTCTTACCCTTCCCCTTCTTCCCTAAGGAAGCTCCCCATTGCTTTACAAATCATTTTTTATGCTATATGTTCTCTCAGGAGGGGGCTAGAGCATGCGGGACAAGCCTGCAGGGTTTCTCAAACAATACATCTATTTTTCTGAGCAGCACTCCAAGAGAGGACTTAAAGGGTGTTTAAATTAACGATGAATAAAATGCAGCCTGCCACTCCTCTGAGCTGTTTGCTTTCTGTCTGTCAGAGCCGCCTGCCTCCCCATCTTCCAGTTCACACCTCCTCTCTGGAGGGCCTGGGGGACTTCACCTGTTAGGATGGGGCCCAGTGGCAGCTCCACTGGGAAGTTACTCTACAAAACAACAGTGAAACAGAGCCCAGGGCACCAAGGGACCTCCTGGGCAGCTTGGCCAGGCTGGGCCAAGGCTGGGGGACTGGGAGATGGATCCAACCTGACTGTGCACGAGGCTCTGCAAATGGAGCTTTAAAGGATCCTGAGGCCCGGGCCCTACTCCCAGGACTCTGATTTCATTGGTCTAAGGAGCAACTCAGGCCAGCCCTGGAATTTTTTGGGGGGGATTCTAATGGGCAGTCATGGACTTGAATACACCCTGTAAACACAGAGCACTCACATTATGGTGGTGTAGAAGGAGCGTTCACTAAGAAACTAGGAGTTCTGAATTCTAGTTTTGGATCTGGCAGTCATTTAGCTCACTCCAATCCTGTTTCCCCATCTCCAAATTGGGATAATGATACCGTCTCTCCCACCTCCCAGAGGTCTTACAAGACATAAATGAGGGGCTGGAAACTCTGAAAAGTGTAAAGTCCTCCACCATTGCAAGATGTCACAATTATAAGAGGCATTTCATGAGGATATGGGGACCAGGTTGCCCTATTGCTTCTGCATGGGGTCCTTCCCATAGTGTCAGCTGCAGATGAAGTTCTTCCAGCAGGTTGCTTTTGCCCAGGTTGCCTTTGCAAACCCCTTCTTTTCAGAAGCAGCTTACTTGCCCTAATAATAGTGCAAACTCTACTGAGGCCTTCTCTCCCCTCTACATCCCCCTCCTTCTTTTCCTTCAATCTTCCCTAGAAATGAGAAGTAATTGACCGTCAGGCTCACACTGGCCCCACCTACCTCTATCTACAAGATCACTCCCCACTCCCCTGGGCTCCCCACCCTGTTGAGCATGACCACTCAGAAGCACAAGCTCCCCCATCTTCTATCTACAGCAGGGACTTTCCTGACATCAAATGATAAAACAAGAAGTTTTATACAACTATACTGTACAGATCTTGCACTATTTTTCGTTCTGGTATTGTTTTGTTTTAACCCATTTATGCTGGAGGTTGCAAAATTTTGTGTAAAAAATCAGACCTTGGCAATGACCTTAAGCAGTGGGATGTAAATAACTCCCACAGGCTTAGTGTTCCAATAATGGAACGCTAGGCATACATGGGTTAATGCTGGTCAAAGCTATTAAACTGATTTCATGATCTGCCTATGAATTACACCCAGCAATCTGAGAAACACCGGCTTATAGTGTTTCTGGAAAGAGGCCTTCCTGTTAGCTTCCAGCCAAGACCCATTAGCTAGGCTGCCATGGTGCAGAGGCCTGAGTTCTGGTCACCCATCAGCTCTCCTCTCTGTTGGGGTCTCCAGCTGTGCCCCAGTTGTGTGATGGGCACAGGTGGCTGTTTTACCTGCATGAAGTAGCCTAGATGGTCCTTGGGTTCCTTTCAAGTTCTAAGGCTTGTGATTCCTATAACATTTCATACGACACTCCAGTGATCCCTGGATGGACTGCCATTCCTCTCCCTTCTGTGGCCAGTTACCTTTCTATGAGCATATCTAACAAGCAGATTTTAAAAAGGAACTTTTAGCTGGGCATGGTGGCTCATGCCTATAATCCCAGCACTTTGGGAGGCTGAGACAAGTGGATCACTTGAGCCTAGGAGTTCGAGACCAGCCTAGGCAACATGTCAAAACCCTGTCTTTACTAAAAATACAAAAAATTAGCCAGTCATAGTGGTGCACGCCTGTAGTCCCAGAGACTCAGGAGGCTGAGGTGGGAGGATCACCTGAGCCCAGGAAGTCGATGTTTCAGTGAGCCATGATCATGCCGCTGCACTCCAGCCTTGGTGACAGAGTAAGACCCTGTCTCAAAAAGAAAGAAAAAAAAAAGAAAAAGAGAAGAAAAAAGAAGTTTATATTTACCAAGCCAGGTCCCTGGACAAGAGACTTGCATATTTATCTTATTTAATCCCCTGGCCAATCTTGGAATTTTTTTTTTTTTTTTTTTTTTTTTTTTTTTTTTTTTGAGACGGAGTCTCGCTGTGCTCCCAGGCTGGAGTGCAGTGGCGTGATCTCGGCTCACTGCAAGCTCCGCCTCCCGGGTTCACGCCATTCTCCCGCCTCAGCCTCCCAAGTAGCTGAGACTATAGGCGCCCGCCACCACGCCCGGCTAGTGTTTTTTTTTTTGTATTTTTAGTAGAGACGGGGTTTCACCATGTTAGCCAGGATAGTCTCGATCTCCTGACCTCGTGATCCACCCGCCTCGGCCTCCCAAAGTGCTGGGATTACAGGCTTGAGCCACCGCGCCCGGCCCAATCTTGGAAATTTAACACTTGCCTCCTATTTTGTCTTGGGTCAGAGAGGTCAAGTAACTCATCTAGTTTGGGGTCAGGTATCCCCTGTGTTAGGGGCTGGAGAGACAAGGGTGAGAAAGACAGGACAGCCCTTGCTGTCCCTGGACTCCAGGCTCCTGGAGGCTGATGGGGGCAGAGCGCTGCAGTACAGCCTGCTGAGGGCTCCCTGTCCACCAGGCATTCTGGGCTGCCATGGGCACACCAAAGAGAGGCAGCCACCCAGCCTGGGTAGGCAGAGAAGGCTCTCAGAAGCAGCTGTCCATGCTGAGCCTGAGAGCAGCAAGCCTGCTGACAAGGAGCAGGAAGAGCAGCCCGGGTAGAGCAGTGTGTGGGGAGAGCAGAGCAGGGACTTGTTGGGGGAACCATATGTAGTTCTGCAGGACTGGAACACGCAGAGCAAGGGAGGTAATGGGGTGGGGGGTGGGGGCAGATAGAGAAGGGCCTTGTAAAACAAAACAAA